TTTACCCAGGTCGCGTGCTTGTACGCCTTGAGGGCCAGATGCAGCATCTCGCCAGCCTCATCGCTCTCCTGAGCAACCAGCTCGTTGCAGATGGCCAGCAGTCTGGGGAAGCTAGCCTCGATAATTTTGTCAAAGTGAACTCTGTTGTCGCCGTCGGAAGACTTAAATCGGTAGGCACGGCAGATGGCGAGCAGGCACTGCAGGCCGGCGAGGACGGAGGGGGCGTCGTTCGTGTTGAGGAGCTGCATTGTGTAGTCCATAAAGTTGGGCCACTTCTCGGGGAAATCGAAATGCAGAATGCGCTGGAGGACGGGAATCAGCTGCTGCCGGACCAGCCCTTGAGAGGCGGCCATGATGGGCAGCAGGCGGTCGCGAAAGCGCGCTTTCTCATCTTCGGCGATTGGTGTGTCGTTGGGGTTGTGATCCGACTTTTCCCATCCCCGGTTCACGCGGTTCTTGATATAAATGACAGCTGTAGAGCGGAGAGCGCGTTAGTATACCTGCATGTGTGGTGCCAGAGAAGCGAGGCGATGGCAAGGAGGGGTGTTTCGTCAACGTACTTGATAGTCGTACACTGTTATCCTGCTCGTTCTGGAGGACTTCGAGGAGAACGTCCATAAACCCCGGGTGCTCTTCGATCTATAATTGCAGAGAAACATGATGTCAGTCAACCGGTTCAACAAAGAGTCGCCAAGTGCGCATAGTCCATCCGCCCTCCTCCCCCGAAGCGCTCGGCACTGTACACGTCTCCATCGGAGCGGGCAGCACAAAGCGTAGAGCAACGATGCGAAGGTAGCCAGCCACCCATGGACGTGTAGGCATTTGTGTGCGTGTGCGTCTGGTATGGGCGTGTGTGATATGTGCAGTACGTGCGTGCGATATGGTGCGGATCGGTTCGGAGCGGTAGGGGGGCCATTTCGTGGGGGAGGGGGGACGGCCAGGAAGGAGGACGACGTCCATGTTGGACGGCATCGGGGGGTGGTGGGAGACTGGAGATAAACGAGAGTTGTCGTACCTGCTTCAGCTGGATCTCAGCCCTCCTTCTCGTGTCGGCATCGGGGTCCAAACTGGCCGCGAGGAGGCCTCGAATCGCCGTGGTGTCCATCTTGGGTGAATTGACGGGGTGATGTCGAGGCGAAGGCGGGATAGGAGTTGAGAGGAAGGAAAGCGGTGCGGGAGGTGAAGACAAAATTTTGGGCGGGTCGTCTGTGTTGCCTCGAAATGGCGGGGCATGCCACGGCGGCGGTGGTCGACAGGTAGAGAGGTAGGAGGTACCTGAGTTGAGGCACAGGCGGGAGGTACCTTTGTGCGTGCCCGTACCTATCTAGGTGGTAGTGGGTTATGTATTTGGCAGTGCACGTAGTTAATTGGGGAGGGACAGGACTGTAGCAGTGAGTCCAGGCGTATCGTGGGCGGGATAACGTAAGGCGTCAGGGGAAGAAGGGGTCGCCGAGTGAATGCGAAGGCGCTGGATTTCGGGGTCGCTCCAGAGGTCGGGTGGCAGAAAAGACTGGACGAGTTGGGCGGCGCCGGGTGCAAATACAAGTATCAGTACAAGTGAGTGCAGGTGCAAGTGCTGGGTGGGTAGGTGATGGGGGGGATCAGAGTCAAGACCAAGACCAACAATGGTGTAAATGTCTAGGTAAGAGAAAGAGACCTGGAGAAAAAAAAGTCAGACAGGTCCAGGCTATCGCTGTGTGTGTTTATCCGCGCCCCTTCTCTCTTCAAAAGAGAAGAAGAAAAGAGAGGCAGCAACCCCGAGTTCCCAGGTGGCAGCCGCCGGACTGGCTGGAATGCCGCGACTCTGGTTCTGGTTCTGACGGATTCAGGATCGGACCTCAGGCCGGCGGGTGAGCAGTGCGGTGTGTTGGCTGTATCGTGACAATTTATTTGACCATGCCCTCTCTCTCTCTGTGAGTCCCGCTCTTCTTCTCTCTATGCCTCGACATGAGCGCTATCAGGGTGGCATCTCCATGGATGCCGGACAACCAGCGCATGATCTTTGATTTGATAACGATGCTGTCATATTTGTCTACTTTAAGGTACTGACTGACTGCTGCAGAAACGATGTTTGCTTTCGGCTCAACGCATCGAAACGTGGACTCACCGAAGGAAATCGCGGTGACTTGACTTGCCTTGCCTAGCCCTCGCATCAGTGGTCGGCCTGCTACGCTTGTTTTGATTACACATTTCCCCAGACAGATGACAGCGCGTCTCATGGAAATAAGGAGCGGCAGACGTGTTGTGTACCTGTGTATATATGTGGTGTGTGTGTGGACATACTGTCGCCGCAAGTGAAGAAGCAAAGAAAAAAAAGGCCCAAGCAAGCAGGGTACCGACGGCTAAGGCATAAGGCCATCCATGAATTTGGACGTGGATGCAACAATACATACACTGCCTGCATTGATTTGGTTGGCTCCTGGATTCAAGTGTGTTTTCCCTGAGGTTGCCTTGTTGGAAGAACATTCCAGTGCCTGCAACTCGACACCGACACACACACACTTACAGACTCCCAGCTAGCGCAACTCGTTGGTTCAGTTCCCCAGATGTTTGTGTGTCGTGTGGCATCTCTCTGTCCATGTGCTGCTCTGCAATGCGGTGGTTGGTAATTGTCTAAGCATCTTCCAGGATGCGGGTCAATTGTCACCGCGATCCATGGCAGACCAGACAGACGCCGGCGCTGCGCTGGAATGGAGCTTATTGTCGGCAGAAAAAGCGCAAAAGCGCAAAAGTGCGCCGCCCACCGCCTCCACTGGCCCCCGAAAGCGGTATGGCATCAGGGCAGCCCGAGGCGTTAACCCGAGTATCTGATTGGCCGCTCCCCAGTAATTATGGATATCGGGCAGCCGTGTCTGTCTCCCTAGCCGCGATAAATGCATCTCAATGTTTTTTGGCTGGTGTTTTTCCCCCCTTCCCAGAGAGAACTCGTTCTCTTCACCGCCCGGAACCCAGCAGGACCCCGGTCAACTTTAGGTGAAGTGTTCGACCCCTCCGAAACCCCCCTCCCCTCCCAAGGGTCCCCGTCCCCTTTCCCACGATTCCACGCTTGCTTCGTCGACTCTCTTCCCACCTCAAAGTCTTACCCGACCCATCAAACTGGCCTGCCCCGAGTGTCTTGCCCAGCCGGGCTGCCACTACCGTCGCCACCAACTACCGCCGCCGTCCCCTTCCCCTCCCCTCCCGCTGAGGCACCGTCCTGCCCTGCGCGCGGCCCCCTCAGAGAGCCCCTCCCCCTCCGTCCATCCCATCAGTGCCATCGCTGAATTCACAGGGCTGCTCCCCGCTGTAACCCTCCTGAAAAAAATCTCCAACAATCATTTCATGCCGTGCGTACCGTGCACCAGATCGACGGGCAAAGAAAGAGGCTCCCGCCGCCGCGTATGTTTATTTACACTCTCTCTTACTCATCAGCCCGTCCCGAGTGCGTGGTTTCTTCCTTTCTTTTGCCCCTCCGTCTCATCGTTGGGAAATCGAACGCCATCGCCCCGTCCGTCGGTGCGGGCCTCACCCACCTCACCGACCGGAGTGGAATAGCCGGGGAGGGGACCACCCCTCAATGAGTTCCATCGACAGCCGATGAGCCTTTCCAGAAGGACACCGAGCAAACCGTCCCTTTCCCGGCCTGGACGGCCATGTTTTCAGCATCGTATTCGTAATACGCTTTGTAACTCCTCATTTGTTTACCGGAGCGACCATGGCAAGTGAAATATTGAACACCAAGAACACTGTGACAAGACTAAGATTTCATCGAGGCCTATGCTACTTAGTCGGGGAACTCGGCCCGCCCCTGAAGTGAGCGAGAGCCTCATGTCCCATCTCCCAACTAACTCACTTCCTTCCGGCAGTTGACACGTAATCCGAACAATCCTGCCGCCGCGATCTGTGAATAGAACCAAGCAAGGAACATCGCCGTGGCCCCTTCCTCCACAGATCCCTCTGAAAGCATAAAACCGCGATCTTCAGGGTCACCGTCTAATCATGCTTCAAGCCTCATCCCAGGACTCTCCCTCCTCATAGCCGTTCAGCTCAACAGCTTCCGCCCGGCGCGGATGCTCCCTGTAGCGACTCGCCACCTTTCTCCGCTTCAAACGCACAAATTCGATTTTTCAAATTCCGCATTGCGAAAAGGGATGGGGAAACATTTTAAAGTCTGAAGTCGTGAAGATCAACGTGGCGAAAATGAGAGAGAAACTCAAAAGATACGCAATACGAATTCGAAGGGGGGCGGCAAACAGATGGGAAGCAGTTCATCTCCATTTTCTCACATCGATGACTTTCAAAACCCGTACACCACTACGGATGCGATGGATCGCAATCACGTCTCTTGTCGCAAACTCTATTCATCTCCCAAGAGAGTGTGTGTGTGTGCGTCTTCGCCCTGAATCCCCTGTGCCTTGCCAACTCGCACCTTATACAGAAATCAAGGTTGCCAGAGGCTGCACCCAAGGACCCTGTCCGATGAGTGTCAACTTTGCCCAACTATGCTCTCTCATCCCTTCCCCTTCCCCCCACGTGAAGCGGCCCAGGACAGTGGTGCCTGACAGTTGGGCTTTCAAACACTGGGACACGCACGCGCACACGCCTACTCAGTTATGATCCAGTATCTCCGCATAGGGATCTGAGTGGTGGCAGTAGTGGGTGACATCACACAACAATGATCCGAGCCAGGTTGATGCCGGAAACGTGGACGCGATGCGACCTACACGGTATCATGGCACTGCGTGAAATACCACAGTAGAGTTGACAAATGTTCACGATCAGCATTCAAGTCACGGGAAGACCCAGGTTTGTGTTTCAGTCATAAAAACTCTGAAGCGTCATTCAATCAACGGCTGACAAGTGCCGCACCCATATTCCAATACTAGCGCCAAGTACATCAATAATGATAATCGTAAACCGAGTCCACGGACTCATATCAGCTCCCTGAATTCAAACAGAAAAGTAGAGAAACACATCACAATATCAACGCTCGCACAAAATATGCATACAACCCTCGAGCATCAACCTTCCAACGTAACCCAATCCCCCCTCTGGCATGGTCCTGATTGCTTCTGCTGCCTGTGGTCCGACCTGTGGTGATGAGTTAGTCTAGTCCTCCGGCAGTGGTCTCCTGGTTGGCAGAATGGCTGCTCCATGAAATGAAGAAAACAACGAATGACAAGAAATAGTGGTAACTAACGAGCTATCCCGCGAGGTCGCGACGGACATTCCCACGAGTGGCTCGGGAAAGATGATCCTCGGGTTGGCAGAATGCTGCTGGGTGGCTGTTCCGGCAATTGGCTTGTCTCCTGGAGCCAAGTAGGTAACTTGGGACCGGACCGTAGAGTTCCCCGTGGATAGTGTACCATCTGAACCGCCAGACTTGATGTCCCATGGCTGGCTGCAGGCATCAAAGCTACAAGCATGTCCGGGAAACCAGAAGCTCATTGCTGAACCGAGCAGAAAATCGCAGCAGCTATCTCACTCAATCCACGGACGTGTACTGGTGTGGGTACCCAGTTGGATCGTGCTTCCTGATATGATCCGAGCTTACCCAAAAGGGAGAGTTGGCTCTCCATCATGATAGAATTTCTTTTGAGCTCAACGAGCCATTGGTCCTTGTTGGTAGACACGACAATTTGACTGAATGAACAGGTCAAGGGAGTCTCCATGATGGCTGTGTGCAGATAGTGGTACTGCCACGTTTGGGTCCGGGAGGAGCTATCCAGCATCCATTGCAATGGGGCGAACTCCATGAGATTGTCCAGGCAGTGTTTTCCAGGCAGTAATATAGTCCAGGGCTTGGAGGTTTCCAGTGATCCAGGTTTGTGTCTAGGTAGACTTCCGAGAAGGTGATTGACGTCCAGGGGTGTGCAAATCCAGCTGAAGGCTGTTGCGCTCAGTAAATGAGAAGTCTAAAAGGAGGAACCCACGAGACCCCTCGTGAAGGGCTTGAGGTCGTCATAGAATGAATCCCAGAAGGGTTCAATAGTTTATACAGTCCGGGGACTCACCTTGCTGTCCAGATGTCGACCTCAACGTTCTATTAGAAAAGCCTTGTTCACCCAGAACTCCGGAAGTCCAAGTAGTAGAAAAAACAAAACCCAGACCAGGAGAAGAGAGCAAGCGACATCACATCCCACCTTCAGAACGGATCCAGACAGCAAGGTGGTCCTTGATGATAAGCAAATTGCCGACATAATTCATCTGAAAAGCGCGTCTTTTTTTTCCGATCCAGGTCCAGAGCCTTAAAAAATGTGCAAGCAAGGCGCAGTCTTGCTTGCCAACGGGGCATTCAAATCGAATAGCAAAAATCGTTGGGCCCATCCATATATGCAGTCGTGAAACGTCCAGGAGTAGAATGCGGTAAGAATCCATTCTTGGGGCGATATCCGGGAAAGATGGTAAAGAAGTCCGGGAACGGTCCAAGTGGAAATAGAGCTAAGGAGCTCCGAGCCAGGGCGCGAAGCCAAAACGCCAGCAAAGCCAGACAACGGAGTACAAGAGATGCAGACTTGCAACTCGAGATGGTTTCCACAACCTCCTCCGGGCCTGGGAGGTTCTATCCGGGAGAAACAAATGATGAAAGAAGCCGACGCCGGAAATGGGTCCAAATCCCAGGGTCATTAGGAAGAAATTTCATAACAGATAACTCACGAGATAGGTATCTCATGCAGTCGGGATGGCTAGAGCAAACTCCGGGTAGAGAACGTATTAGCGGCGCGGAGGGCGGTGGCGGTCGGATGTGTGATGCCTGTCGGAGTCCCTCTCACTGCGGCGGGAGTGCGACGAGGATGATCCACTGTTTCCCATCTGAGCATTGGAATTCGAAGGGGTAGCCGAAGCGCGGGGGGTTGGGGTTGTATCATACTGTGATCCTTGGCCTGAGCTGTACGACGAAGGGTGAGCGGCACCTGCTGGGGACGCTACATAATTAGACGATGTCGGCGAGGACAGGGAATGTGAGACTTTATACGCACCGCGTCCATACAACGGATCTTGGGATACTGGCGCAGCTCCGTAGGGCGCCTGCGATGACGGCGGGTAGTAGCCGGAGGGGTAACCTGCCTGAGCTTGAGATCCGGATGGAATGTAAGTCTGTCCCGACTGAGGAGCCATAGTGGTGGGAATCCTTGCGGGCTGTCCAGAGGAACCATAGGAGTCAAAGTTGCGCGAAGCGGCCATGTTCGCGTTGACGGCAGTGTACGGCTCTCCTCCGTACTGGGGAGTTCCAGAGTATCTGGGATCTCTCGGGTCCGGCTGGGAAGAGAAAGCAGAACCTCCCGATGGGTAGGAGTACCCAGCACTTGAAGAATAAGGAGACGGGGCCTGTTGGGAGTAACCAGCAGCAGATGATCCAGAGTAGCTCTGCGCGGCATTTCCCGAGTATCCTGGGGCTTGAGAACCTGGGTATCTGGGGGTGTTTTCATAGGAGTCACGTCCTACGTCCGGGTAGCCAGCGGGATCCGTGGGGCCATAGTGTTGGCGCGCGGAATGAGTCTCCGACTGGCGGTACCCTGCTGTAGGGGAGTTAGATCGTCTCGACAAAGAGGGAGCCGCCGCATCTCTCGAGGCAAATGTACCTCCTTGGGTGTTCCGGGCGGCCTGCTGCCGCCTCTCTGCCTCCCAACGCGCAGAGTCGGCCTTGAGATCATCAATCATAGCCTGCGGGGCTTCGTATTAGCATGCGTATTGTGGTGGCATGACGAGTCGGAAGTCTCACTGTTGTTAGGTTCCGGTACGCGGTGATGTAGTAGCCTTGAACCACTTGGCCCGTTTGAGGGTTCTCGTAGTGACCGGGTCGCACCAAAGCATCGTTTCCGAGGTAGCGGCAGATGTCTGCCGTGATGACCTCGCGATCAATACCATCTCGTGGGACGAAGTACTCGTTGGAACGACCGCTGGAGGGGGGTGCCGCAGAGGAGCTGCCCGAAGGAGGGGCACCGCGCGATGTTCTGGACGACATGATCGAAGGGTTTCGTGAGGGTCGAACGGAGACGAGGACACGGACGGAATGTGAAGAGAGGATGGTATAGAGGAAACGAGAGAGGAGAGAGGGGAGGGACGGCAGGATGGAAATGTCGGCGAGATGGCGGAAAGAAAAAGAGAACGGAAGCGCAAAGGCGGGCAGGGAGTGGGTGGTGGGAGAAGAAAAGGAACAGGCCAGAGTCTGGCTCTTCTCTTGGGGGTGGGGATTGTTCGAAAAACCGGGACCCCCAGCGGTAAGTCACCGACGTGGGCCAGTGGCCAGTGATCAAGTCAGTGCTAAGTGGTGAGTGGTGAGTGGTCACCAGCACACCCTCGTCCTCGTTCTGACTGGACAGGACAAGACGCAAGACTGGAGGCGGGAGGCGGGAGAGAGCGAGCGAACGGTCGGGTTGGATGTACCGTAAATGTACACTCGCTGGATGGGAGGCCCTCTTCGTCCTCACACTCTGGATATGTGTGCGTCGTGTATGAGTGTGCGTGTGTGTGTCTCTGGCTGACTGGCTGTCTATCTGTCTTGTGCGTGGCCCAGCGCAGAGGTACAGCAGGTACACAGGAAACGGTAACCGCAGGCCTCGGGACTGATCAGAGAAACAGGGCTTGTTGGCACCACGTTGTTGGCTGACAGTCCCGTGCGGATTTTCCCAGGCGCTCCAGCAAAACCCCAGCAACCTGGCAAATCTGCCACTCTGTGACTCCCTAGACCTTGCCTGTGAGGGGCTAGGGGCTGGGAGGGGTGGGTGGTGGTGCGTCTTTTGGTGCGGCCAAGTCTGGCCTGGCTGGCCGATGAGAGCCTGCCCGTGCCTAGCCTGCGTCTTGGTTTGGTGGGAAAAAAAGGACCAGCAGAGAGCCAGTGAGAGATGACGAGCCAGACAAAAGTTGGGAAGCAGCAGGAAGACAAGAGGCGGACAGCGGTTGGGCGGCAGCAAGGATGCTGGGTGGCGGCCGCTCTGAGTGGATGGAGACGGGATGAGGTGCAGCTGCTGGAGGTTGGGCAGCCCCAAAAAGGATACCGAGGAGACTGTACTTCGTCTAGAACGAGTATCTGGCGTGTACTTCCCGCTTCCCTGCCCGGTGCGCGCACTAGCAGAATTCGAAGCGACTTTGGCTGCCGGCTTCTAGCACCGTAGCACGCGCCAATCCCAACGTCGTCGCCGCCTTGGTTAATTGGTTGCGTGGGTTCGCAAGGCAGTATTTGACGTCGGGAGAAGAAGAAGCAAATCCAATGAGCGTTTTCCACGGTGGAGATGAGCCACCCGAGAAGCAAACTGACGTTGGCTCGTCAATGCCCGCCTTGGCCTTGCACAGTTTACTGCCTGCTAAGTGAGAGCGTCAGATGAGGTAATCCTCTCCTCTAGGTTTTCCAGGTTTCTAGCCCCCAAACGTCGTGAGCAAGCGACCGGATGCTACCTGCGGCTGGTGATCCCGTAGCCGTTGTGGGCGCAATACGTAAAGAGTAAGGCGAGTCAGAGACGCAGCACAACCGAGGTGAGGGCGGTCTGGTAGGGCTCGGCACTCAGCACTGCCAGTGGCTTCCCCATCAACTGCGGTCACAGCCCAGGAATCGGTATTTCCAGCGTGTCCGTCTGTCCCTGAACCCCAGGGCCAGCGGGAAGGCGACGAGCTGCGGTGAGATCCAATGCAAGGTTTATCGGCTGTTCACGAGGGTCGCAACAGGGCTCTCAGTGTCGTTGTACGGGCTCAGTCTGGCGACGGCATGGTTTGTTTGTCACTGCCACCGCCTTTCTGGTCTAATGCGACAAGGCTATTTGGTGCCCAATAGAGGATGTTGCGGATCAGTGGAACACGCGGGAGAGCCGAGGGAGCGAGTGCCTAAGGGACCGGCGAATAACACAAAGTCGACAAACTCTCGCGTTCCAGCACGGATATTGGGGCCTTGATGGGAGACTTGGCTCAGATGAATGTGATTCAGGCGTTGTTACTTGTGTCTCTCTATCGTGCAAATCGCCATCGCTCCTGTCTGCAGGAGGGCTCGACAGAGATCTAGACCGTTAGTGCCGAAAACTCTCGTTTGAGGAATCCCATGCAGCTGAGGCTGAGATGCCGTCCGTCGGCTTGGGATGATGAGGTTTGGGGGAGATGTGGCTCGTGAGTAGTCCCTTCTAGACCATCAAGCGATTGGTCGTCTCCAGGATGTGTCGAGAATGACGGCTTGCTAGCGCACAGTGGCGTTGGGCAACCGCGCCAAAGGGTGTTGTCGGTTGTCTCCCCGGTGCTTTTTGGCCGGGGCCCATGAGAATTCTAATTCTTGAACTTCGGACCACAATGCCACACGAAATATGCCATGAGTATGGGATTCCACTTGAAAGCAGGATGCGAATCCGGCTCTTTCGAAACATCAGGCTTTCTCGCCAACCCCTTGCGCACTCCTTGTTCAAAAGCACGGAGACAAACATCCAAAGTTTTGTCGCGCCGTAGGCTTCATTTGCCAGACCCTGATG